AAGAGAGGGGAGGCAGAGGCTAGGAGGGAAGGGGTATGGAGGGGGAGCAATGAGGGAAGGAGGGGCCTGAAACTGGGAGGGCAGGCAGGAGGCAGAAGTGTAAAGCGGGGGGAGGCATAAGGAGGGGACAAGATTCTTGACACCTCCCCGCCCCTCACTGCCTACCCCACTGCAGCAATGGGGAGATAAATTAAAGATGACTCTCCAATAATTAGATGTATACACAGAAAATTATAAGAAATGTATACATTTTCCATGTATACAGTCTAATTACTGGGGAGTCATCATAAATTCATTGTAGTCTTAGATTCGAGTAAATGCGGTAGTTTATTTCTTCAATAATATAGGATGCACAGAAGCTTTTTGTTGCTGCTTTCAGCCTAGTTTTTTTTCATAGATTTCATAGACATCAGGGCTGGAAGGGACCTCGGAAGATCATCGAGTCCAGCCCCCCGCCCAAAGGGCAGGAAGTCAGCTGGGGTCATAGGATCCCAGCAAGATAAGCATCCAGTTTCATCTTGAAGGTGTTCAATGAAGGCGCTTGAACCACCTCCGGTGGCAGGCTGTTCCAGACCTTGGGGGCTCGGACAGTAAAGAAGTTCTTCCTTATGTCCAGCCTGAAACGATCTTGAAGTAGTTTGTGACCATTCGACCTTGTCATCCCTTGGGGCGCTCTGGTGAACAAACGTTCCCCCAGATGCTGGTGGTCACCCCTGATAAACTTGTAGGTGGCCATCAGATCACCCCTGAGCCTGCGCTTTTTCAGGCTAAAGAGCCCCAGGGCTCTCAGCCTGTCATCGTAGGGTCTGCTTCCCTGACCTCTGATCATGCGCGTGGCTCTTCTCTGGACTCTCTCAAGCTTCTCCACATCCTTTTTGAATTGTGGAGCCCAAAACTGGACACAGTACTCCAGCTGCGGCCTCACTAAGGCCGAGTACAGGGGGAGAATGACGTCCCGGGATTTGCTTGAGAAGCATCTATGGATGCAAGCCAGCGTTTTGGTCGCTTTACTAGCTGCTGCATCGCATTACAGGCTCATGTTCATCTTGATGACCCCCAAGTCTCTTTCTTCCATAGTGCTAGCCAACATAGCACTGCCGAGCCTATAAGGATGCTGCAGGTTTTTTTTCCCAAGGTGGAGAACCTTGCATTTATCGGCGTTGAACACCATCAGATTCTTGTCCGCCCGCTTGCTGAGCCTGTCCAGGTCAGCCTGGATAACCTGCCTGTCTTCTGGTGTGGATGCTTTGCCCCAAAGTTTGGTGTCATCGGCGAACTTGGCCAGTCCGCTTTTTCTTTCCTTTCTCTATTGTTTTCATTTGTATTCCTTAAAGTCTATAATAGGCCATATCAGTAAAATAAGATGTATTTCATCATCAAATGTTCTTTTTGAATTGTTGTTTTGTCTCATAAAAGAAAAAAACTTAAGATATTAGAAAAAAGAGTTACCATATTTATACTTTTATTCATCATTATACCTTATATAAAACACAAAACCATTCTTAGTCTGTCATTTGTAGTCTAAAACAAAATGGAAATTTTGGAATGCAGAACCACTGAGAAGTGGTTACATAATGATTTGAGAAAGAAGGTCAAGAGAGAAAAAATTAGAGGAACTAGATGTTGTATTTGTCTTGGGTTAAGTTGTGCCTGTGTTTGTCCCAGGATTGGCACATATACACATCGCCCTTCCAATCAGGGTTTAGTGAGCAGCTACATACGCTGCTGCTTTTTTGCCTTTGATTTAATTATGCAATCCCAGGACCACTGTTCAGACACACTTCACAATGTTGTGGTACATGCTGTTAGCACTTCTTATTCCAAGAACGCTTTTGGGGGTTTGTCCTTGAATAACAGACATATGTCTGAAAGATTGAACTTTGTCCCAGCATAAAATATTTCCCTCCCAGGACAAATGAAATATCTGTTTGTAACTTGAGTAAATTAGCTAAAAAGTCAATGGATATGAGATTAGAGAGGACAAGCAACTTTTCAAAAGGAGAAATAATAGTTTTGAACTGAGTCCAGAGATGAGGAGGAAGTCACTGAAGGACAACAAATACAGGGGATTGCTCAGTTCTCTTAAATGAGAGAAGCTTAGCTGCAGTATTTTTGAACTCCTGGTCAAAATTTAAAAGAATAGAGTTTTAAAATGTAATTTAAAAGAAAAGAGTTGAACTGAAGACCTGAGTTGTGCTGAGTGCTTACAGATTTAAGTGGGATTTTAAAGAACATGTCTTAAAACTCAAGCTTTAATCTTAATAGTCCTACAAAATATATGAGATAACTCAAGTAATCAGTCAGTGGCCATGGAATTATAATCCATGTTTTTAAACAATCCAGAAGTTCAGGCTCTCGTAAAGTCTTTGTTTTGTGTACAGCTTAACTCTAGATTAAGTAGCAACCAGTTTCTTATGTCAGAAAAAGGTTACTTTACTTCAAATTTTTCCTAGTTAATATTTTGAAAATCAATAACAATATTTTTAAATTAATTCATTGTAATTATTCAAAAATATATTAAATCACTACATTTTATAATCTCTGCATATTTATGTTTTGAATTAACACATTGTCCCTTTTTTTTTAGCCTCCATGCCATTAAGAATGAGATGTTTCTTAGGCAATCTCTACAGCGTCAGTCAGCATCATTTAACCATGCAACCTTCAGTCAAACAGTATGTAAAGACAACTAGGCAATTGTTTTGTTCCTTTTAGTGGTTTGGGAGAGGATGGGAGGGTTGGAAATTCTTTCAACTTTTTAAATACAGCATAACGTCAAACAAATTTGAAAGTAAGCAGTATAAAATTTATGAGGCAATGCTTGAAATATAGTGTATATTTATCTGCACGTTCACAATCCTGTGTTGCTTACACTAATTACGTACATAACTGTAGGTGAAATTCAGGGATGGGTGCTCTTGTTGGGAAGCAAGGTTAGGCAAAGATCACAGTGTCTTGTGCACCACAAATAATGCCATTTTAAAATCTTCAATTAATCTGAGAACTAAGAGCATGACTGTAGTTTGCCCAAGGTACCCATATAGGAAAGAAAGGGGTGGTAAGGAGCTTCTTTGCTCAGTGAGTTATTTGCATTGTGTCACAACACATTAAGGAGCAGCAGTCTTCAAGGAGCCATTAAGTCTCCATTAACTTCTTACAGAAGTGGGTGGGATGACAGAGTGAGAAAAGTTTTAATTCTGGCCTTTCCTTCTCCTCCAAAACAGCTGCCATCACAGCTGAGATGTCTTAAGAAGGAAGTAATCTAAGCTAGGTACTGGCACAGATAATTTCGCCTCTGGATCAAAGAAGGACTGAGAGGTTAAATCTTATGAGTCCTTTGAGTCTTAAATTAAATCTTAATTCTCTAAATTTCAGAAGAGTCACAGTTCAATCCCTGGTCCACTCCTGCCCTGGCACAAATACTTACTGCCCTATATTCAAGACAAATTGTATTCTTACAATGTAACTCTAATTGAATAGATACATTCTATTTGGAAAAGCATCTAAGGTGGAAATTTTGGTAAAATAGAACTTGAGAGTTTATTAAACATATTTATTACTTGGCAATTGAGTTTATCCAGGGAAAAAAAAAACTTTTATTAGCAGAGGTGCTTGCATTTTGATGTCAGGGCAGTGTTCTGATTGCTTTTTGCTTCAGGTTGGTCACAGCTGTAGTGGGCCACAGTTCTCCTATCTACTAGACTTTTATCACCTGCACAATAGAACTTGACATAACAAAAGAAGTCTATAAAACCTGCAGTTGAATGCTTCCAATTCAAAGACTGTGTCAAAGAGTACTTCTGTTGGATCTAACTTATTTTAACTGCAGATGCCTATCCTAAGGAATAAAGATATACATCCACACTCAGTTGGCTCCAAGGAAATGAGTGAAGTCATAAAATACCCATACATTCCCCTAACTTATAGTTCAAAAGGAAAGTCAGTAAAATCAGTCCAGATTGAGAGGTCAGGCAAGAAGTGATACAGCAATTTAAGACCCAGATAGATAGACAATTTAAGACCTGGGGAGACAAAGGCCTGACTGTGATGATATGGTTGGGGATGGTCCTGCTTTGAACAAGGGGTTGCACTAGATGACCTCCTGAGGTCCCTTCTAATCCTAATGTTCTATGATTTTATTATTCTAATTCTGATTATACCTGCAAAGGAAAACTATCATCAAGGGAACTACCCCTTTGCTTAAATTTAAGCATGTATTTGAGTGCCTTGCAGAACAGACTTTTAATGCATAAAAGCAGAATATTTGCTGCAGAAAATGTCCATTCGCTACAGAAACAAATTTAGAATTTCTTGATAATGATTAAATTAAATTAAAATATTAATGTTGCTTTTACATATTTTTGTATTAATCCATACTTTTTACTGAGTAAGGTCACACCAAATCCAGCTCTGGATATATTCCATTCTCCTAGTTATAAAGGAGTTGTTTTAATTCAACCATATATGAAACTACATATTTTTTAAATATATCTGTTGTCTGTGTCATTATTCTATGTAATCCCTATGTAATCAGATGAATAAGACATACACCATTTCAGTATTGTATTAATGTTACTTACTTATATGCCAGTATATAGGGTCTTGAGCAAAGACTGTTTTAAACATGTTTAATTTGTAGTTCATATGTTACTTGCAGGTTGCTGTTCCTCTCTGTACTGAAACTGGTTCAAGTGAAATGAAGATGGATAGAGGTGGTTTATATGTGCCCTCACGTTTGGTATGCAACCTAATTTTTCACTAAATGTAAATTATGTTCTAAATGTTTCTGTGATTAATATGCATAGTACAATTTTTGACAGTTTTGAGAAGTATGGAATCAGATTTTACGTAAGAATCAAAAGCTATGATTTGTACAATGAAAGATTGAGCTGCTGATTTTTTTTAATAGCGGCCAATGCTTTATTGTACATTTCTGAAAATTCTCTGTACTGATTTATATGCTAATAGTCCTTTACAAGTGCTGTTTACTTTTACATGAATGCAGGGATTTTTACAATTTTCAGTGTTAAATAGTGACTGTGTAATAGGGTTACTCTTATATTGCATTGTTATTGTATGCATTTGATAATAAATACAAGATTCTGTTTTAACTATAAGGTATTATTTACAAACAGTTCTAAGCTTTTATGATTGGAGATATTGCCTTCTGAGTATGAATTGATATAACTGTCATAAACAGTATGAAATAAGAACTGTATGAGCCTGATAAGGGTCAGCTCTGACTAAAGTAGATAGGAATCATGCACTTAATTTGGGACCACAGTAACTATTTTTTGACAAATGTTTTTGTCAGTTCCATGGGTTTGTTGATTAGACTTCTGGATGACAGATATTTAGACATTACAATTTAAGATGACAGTAAAATAGATGTAGTTAGACGGAGTGAAATGGAATATATTAAGAGCCTGGGACCAGCATAGTATTGAAGTGTAATGAAAATAAAACTTTGTTGATGCCTTTTAAAAAAAATGAAAAAGTAATACCAAACATTTTGTTAGAGTTGTTATATGGAATTCAAGAAATACGCATCAAGGTTATAAGAACAACTCTAGCCCTCCATCTAAACATTCAATTTACTTACACAAATTTTTAAAAGAAAAAGAAAAGATTAGCAATAAGTAAAAAAAAAGTCTGAATGTTATCCATCTATCACATAGCTTTCTCTCAGAAAGCTGTATATGAAAATATAAACACCTTAATCACATTCATACAGGGATTGTGAATGATCTGTTCTTCCATAGAATTATATCTATTCTACCAAATCAAATAATATAATAAATGTAATAGATGTCTCAGCTAAAATCTTTGGGCACCACTTGTTATACCATCTCATAGCATGGGTAAAAGGTGAAAACATATTATATGAACATCAGACTGGATTTAGGGATGGATATTCCACTATTGGTATCATATTTATCCTTTGGTTTTTCAGACACAAATATATGCAAATGCACAAATCAGCATTGTACGTTGCATTTCTTGATCTATCAAGAGCTTTTGATGGTATAGATAGAAGTAAACTTCGGGAAAAATTGTTAAATTATGGGGTTGACCCTTCTCTTTTACATATGCTGATAGAATATCATAAAGATACATGGCCCCAAGTTAGGTGGGGCCTGAGAGGGCACACTTACACAGAAATTTCAGATACAAAAAGGAGCTAGACAAGGATATATTTTGGCCCCCTTGCTATTTAAACTTTATATGAATGACATTATTGGAAACATGCAGGATTCTCATTTTCATTCCCCAAAATTACTAGCAACTCCGATCCCTATTTTAATGTACACAGATGACACCATCATACTGTCAAGAACTCCCATCGGATTACATAGATCAATTACAACTTTTGAGCATCTTTGTGTACAAAATAACTTAAAGTTAAATTATGCTAAATCCAAAATAATGTTTTGGGGAAGCCATTTGATGAAATACCCATGGAATATGGAGAGAATCAAACTCAAAGTTGTTAAAACCTGTAGGTACCTGGGTGTGATGTTTACAGCTTTTCCATCATGGAAACACCACATTCAGTTGGTTAAAACTAAGGCAGCCCAATCAGCAGTGGCTATAAAGAAATGTTATGAGACCACAGCAGGACAATCAGTCCAAGCTCTCATATTAACATATAAAGCCAAAGTTGCGTCCCAGAACCTGTATGGCGCTTATGTATGGGGCTATGCCACCAGTAATGATGTAGACATACCTCAGAATAAGTTTCTTAGGGCTCTTCTAGGTCTTCAACTCCCGCATCCTTCTTGAGATTAGAGACGGGATTAGATTCCATTTTAACTAATATTGTTATTAGAATGGCAGGATTTTCGTTTAAAATCCTGCCTCTTCTACCGTCTTGCTTGCTCAAATTATGCTATATAGAAGACATCAGTAATCCCCCTTCTCTTCAATCTCCCTGGCTAGCTTTTCTCTCCGCACTTTTGCATTTTCCAGGATGGGACACTATGTCAAAGACAATGAAAGACTCTTCTCCCCCATAGAAAAGGTCCGGGTTTTCCAGAGGTCCAGAGATGTTGCCAGAGAGAATGATTTTGCAGTGGCTAGGACTACTTGCATTGCCTCTCTATATATTCTTTGGAAATTAGATGGGGGGGGGGGGGGAGGAGTGGCGAAAGGTATTTACAGCTGCATCTCAACAATAAATGGCAAACCTCTTTGACTAGACTTAGGACCAAGCAGATGCCCACAGCTGTTTTGGCTGGTCATAGACTTTCTATTCCAAGTGCTAAAAGATGTTACCCAGTCTGTCTAGGAGTTTTGGAATACTATTCATTATGTTTTAGAATGCCCTCTATATAACGAATGAAGGAGAAAGTATTTATTACCGTTCTTGCAGAAATTGGCATACTTTTCAAATAGAGAGAAATTAATATGGTTCCTCCAGCAAACAGATCCATATTTAGTAAACTGTCTTGCAGTTTTTGCTTACAAGGCTGAAGCAATCAGAGCTAAACAACCTTTACTGTTGATATGACTGAAAAACTTTATCCCTATATTTGTTTTTTACTGAGTTAATTGTGGACTATGCATAACATTTTTATAGATTCATGGTCTGATTTATCACCATATTTGTATTGGTTATGTTAATTCTAGGAGTAGGAATAATGCTTTTATAATGATTGGCCCTATTTTATTATTATATTTGCATTTCTGTTAATTTTGTTTAAATTTATATTATGCCTATATATGTCTGTTATGTTGCTATGTTATGTTGTTTTTGGGAGCATGGCTTTCAGCCAGAATCCTTAATAAATTGAATTGGATCGAATCAACTTAATCAGCTTATGCCCAGCCTTAACCAGAAAATGTTCCCCTACTAGCCACAGATACCTTCCCAATCATCTACAGAGAGAAAAGAAAAGAAAGGAGGGGTTACAGATGTTCAGATTACAATTGGAACAGAAATGTACAATTTGTATGAAGATGGTGAGTACAAAATTTTGGGGGGGAAATAATGTACTTTTTTATTTCGTTATGTATTTCTAGCTGCATAGCTTATGGTTCAGTGTGATCCTTTTTATCTTTATATTCTATCTTTGATATGGCATGAATCTGAAATCCAGTTTATCCCATTATCCAATAGTCAGTGGTACATTTTCAGTAACATTTATGAGTACAGGATTCTTAATGTGTAAGAACCCTGTATTTAATTCCATCCATACTTTTCTGAAAAGATATGCCTGAAAGGCTTACATAGAGTTTTTATGAGCACACTTTTTTATCAGACAAGTGTGAATATGTGATATTTTAAAAGTAATGCAACAGTCTGATGAAAGGCAAAACACTATTCATTAATTCTTTTATAAGCATTAGGAGAATTATGAATTGTATTTATTATCTAATTTAACAGTTTGTTTAATGAAATCTCAGGGTCCTTTATCTAGTAAAGCACTTAAGTATGTGCCTAATGGTATACAAGTCAGTACTGTATTTTATCAAATCTAAGACAAGGTTTTTACCCCAGTCAACATAGGAGAGAAAGCCCCTTGTCTTGGATTTCAGTAAAAAGCAGGGTGGCAGGCAGCTGCTGTGGTTCCAGCTCTGACCCCAACCCTAGGCTCAGGATAGGAGTCGGAGCCACAGCCACTGCCAAACTCCACCACTTCTTTGCCCCTTGCGGCTGCTTCTGCCCCCACACCACCTTCCCAACTCCTGCCCTCCCCCTCCTCCCCCATCACTCTTGTGGCTCTTGCTCTAGTCCACTGCAGCTGGGGACAAGGAACACAGTGTGGCTCCAGGCCCTGACCAGGCAGGCAGCAGTGGTTGGAGCTGTCACCACCACAACCACTGCTGTCTGGGTGGGCATAGGCCAGAGCTGGAGCCGGGGGGGAGGTGGCAGAAGGGACAAGTGCTGGGGCCAAGGTGCTAGGGAGAAACGGCATGGATCAGATCACTTGACTCCCTTGCCACCTGCGCCACCACCACCCACCCCGCTTGCTTCTGCTTTCCCTGCTACAGTGGTTGAGGTGGGATGAATTTAAGACAGTTTTCCAAAAATTGGATTCTAAACATGGAAAATTATAAATCACAGATATAATATAATTTTCCATTGTCTAGAATCTAACTATTTGGAGGGGTCATCTTAAATTAGAAGTCATCTTGGATTTGGGTAAATATGGTAACACCACTGAAATCCAGAAACTTCACTTGTCTAAACTTAAGCACATGTTTAAATGCTTTGTTGGACCAAAGCCACAGTATGCATACATCTCATTGATAATATGGAAACTGAAACTAGATACCACCCTTACCTTTTGTGAAGATAAATCAGTCATTTGTTTGTTTGGGTTATAGTAGACAAACAAAAAAACTGATTAAAACATTTACATTTGGCAATGTTCTGCTCTTTCATTATGTTTTCATAACTCCACACCATTTCCATCTTTGATGCTCATAAGTGCAGAGAAAACCTACATATGTTTTTGGAAGTTAATCTTGTCAAGTTAATTGTGTAGAAGTGGCATTGCAAGTCTTTTATAGTCTTCCAAGTCATTAATGTTGCCAGCTTGCCTGGGGAACATTACTTCATAGGATCTGCAAAGTACTTACATGAGTGTGCTCATTGTTTTCAGAGCCTTCTAGTCCTGTCACTGAAAACCTCCTGTCTCCTTTGTCGTTTGGGTTGGCATTAGCTATTCTGTGTTATTTACTGAAGTAATACCATTGAGCAAGTTATTACTATGTACCCTGGAGGTAGTAACTCAAAACTGTGTCGCTTCCCATTTCACACACTACCATGTATTAGGCCTATGAACTGATGCTAAACAGTCAAATAACGAACTTCTTTCTTCATGGCTAATGATCTCTATAGCATGATTTGCAGTATCACTATCCATAAGGATTTTCCTCATGACTGAGGGTAAAGTAAGTGCCAGACTGAAACTAAGAACTGTTGTATTCAAGAGGACTTGAATCTGTGCAGGCTTGAATCTGGCTTCCTTTTTGGTGGTGACTCTCAATCAGGTTTGACCCAGAGAACTATTTCTCTTCCTCCTGGAGGAACTGAGCTCAATATCCCTAGTTCTTAAATTCAGAAATCATTATCCCAGAGGGAATGAAGTCAATTATCCCTGAGCATAAGATCAAGAACCTTTGAGGAATCCTTGTGTACAGACATTTTGCACTGGGTAATGGGGTAAGTTGGTGGGTGCATGTGTGTGTATGTGGGTGTGCATTCCTCTGTAGTTGCAAGTAATTCTCTGTGTGCTACATACTACAGAGATGAAATGCCGGTTAGAGCAAACTGAAACAGCATGCACCAGCAAGGAGTCCAAAAATTTCACTCAGAAAAGAGAATTAGTTTCATGTCTGTTTGAACTTGATCACAGACTATCTAGCAAGTACAGACATTTCTTAGATACTGATGAAGCAGGAAACTGATGGTCTCCATAGCATCAGTAACATTATTGATCGGTTAGTAACATTATTTATTAGTAAACACCCATTTTTCTATGCAATTCTGCCAACTTTAGAAATTGCTTTTGCCAAAGAGGGAATTTCCTCACTGGAGAAACAAGCATAATGCCTCACATATCACATTAGAGACAAAACTTTCTGAATAGTGGGCCTGGATGCTATTTGTAAAACTGTTAAATGTGCATGAAGCGACATTTGAGTCCACTTAGCATACTCAACAGATAATGTTTAAATGCAAAGAAATAATTGTGAACCTCAGTGAGACACAACTAAATGGAATTTTAAAAAGAGGCATAGGACATTTTGAGAGACTATGGAGCCTCCTCCTCTATCTCTACAGAAGGACTTCTGATCCCCTCTATCTCATGGGACCAATGACAGGTCTCTCCTGCTGCTTCTCACCTGGGACTGACTCCCAAAGCCTCATGACTGGTCTTTTCTTCTTTCTTCCTCCATTCATACATAAATTCTATGCGCTGTTATTACAAAGGGGGGGGTGTGAGGAGTGGGGAGATAGATAGCACAGAGCCATGATTCTTTGGCCATCTCTTTTCAATCTCTGACACCATTCCATCATGCTTGGGGGCTAGCAGGCCTCCCACTGCCAGCTTACTTTTTAGCCTTTTCTTTGTCTAAGTAAGAGAGAAGTCAAAGAGTTACATAAGCAAAACATAAAAATAGTCATTCCCAAGTGTAATCAACAAATCAGATGCAGGCTGTTCCCTTTCTTCATTCTTCCACAATCTACATTGTTCTACAAAGAATACCAATACTAATACTAATACCAAGAATATGTAAAACCAAAAGGCAAGCTACATATTTCAGTTTCCCATAGAATATATGTGTATGTATTGAATTCTTCAGTCAGAAGCCATTCTTACTGAGTAGTGACTGAATGAGGTACAAAAACAAAATGGACATTTTTCAAGGTACTAAAATTAAATAATTTAAATGTGGCTATTTAATAATTGAGGAACTACAGTCTGCTGGTTGTAATACTGAGTGGTGTCCACCATTACCTTGTACAGGATCCAAATGTCAATTTTGATTCTACCAGCATTTCTAAGGCACATCGTCAACCATGACTAAGTTTTTCCCTAAGTATAACTGAAAAACAAGGCTAGTCTTCCAAAGCTGTTCTACTCATGCTGCTTTGATGCTTTTCAGCGGTCCCATTATGATGGAGCTAGTGATAGCATATGTAGACACTTTGCTTCTGTTGCTGTACTGCTTCAAGGAACAAACTATTTTTACTCAGCAAGTGAAATTTCCACAAGATTGTTATTGTTTACTAGGGAAAACGCTTCAGACAAATTTTGAAAGTCACAAAGTTGCTGCTTATCACCACAGAACATTTGATGTGCTTCAAAAACTACAAGAACCATGGTGACATTCAAAAGCAAGATAGAAGAAAATGTTGTTTTGCCGGACAACACTGTACTTCAAGGCCACTGCCATGAACACATTGAAAATGTGCCCTTACATAGAAAAAAATCACAAATCCAGCTATATAAAATGAAATAATGGAAAATATGCCTCTTAAAATTGTGAAAAATATTTCTGAGTAAAATTTTGGATAATGATGATAATTGAAATATTATGATAATTATGATAAATGAAAAAAACAGCTTCTCCAAAAATAGAGTAAGTGTTTTTGTGACCATGATATCTTGGTGACATGGATATTCATAAATTACACGTTGGATTATGCAATGTAGCTTTTACTTACCAGACGTAATCATATCAATAAGTGGAGCTATAATAGAACATTGAAATGTAAGCATTGACAGCTATTGCAGATATACTATGAAGATCACTAATAGGTAAAGGTTAGTATCAGGGGCCGTGTTTACATGAGATACTGACTGCACAGTTGTTACTGTGCAGTCATTTAGTACTTGCATAACCAAGTACTAAATAACTGCGCAGTAACCGGCAGTAGCATCCCTGCATGGCTTCGAGGAGATGCTATCTGCGCTGTAGCACCACATCACAGTTCATACCCTACAATGCTACTGTGCAGTATGAATGAGCTATTGCACAGCAGTAATGAGGTACTGCACAGTAAACATGTGGTGTTGACATGGCCAGGCACAGCAGTCAATCTGTAGCAGAAGTAACCACCAACAGCAACTACATTTTGCTATGAACATACTTTACATTTCACAGTACCTTATGAAAAGGTACTAACAGATACTCCTGCTTTTGCTTACAAAAAGGCAACCTTAATTTGAAAATCAGATTAACAAAATGCCATATTTCTGGGCATAAAATATGGGATTTTAAGTACATTACTAGGCACCTATATCTGTCCAACAAGATGGACCCTCAATGCAGATGCATTGGCATCCATTTCTGAGAGCTTACTTGTGCACTGGGAAACTTGCGAGGTTGTAAATGATGCAGCAGAAGATCTTGATATAGATCAGCTGAATTGGGATATAGCAGCTCAGATGAAAAGTTTAACTTTCTCTTTGGTACTGCAGGAAGCTAAAGTGTTAACCACAGCCTGTCTGTAGGAGGTGAATATTTCAGTAACAGTAACTTTTTCAGCAAACATCTCTTATAATAAAGACAATTTAGTCTATCCAATACAATGAAAACTTCTACTTTATTCTGGTAGCTAATCTACTAGAAAAGTTTAAAATTGGAGAATGTCAAAAAGCCTGAGCTTCCAAGGATGAAAAAGTTCCCAAGAAAATGTAAATAGGGGACACCTAGATTCATCAAAGGAGTTGCATAAGTACATCTACTGGAAGGAATTGATTTATGGTGGCCAATATTCAGCCAAAATTTGAAGAGACTCCAAAACTTCCCAAAAATCTTTACACGTCCATAACAACTGCAGACATAATAGAAATGTAATTTCAAGATACGTCTTGGGTTTATGGTTTCAATTTCATTCATGACCAACTGATTATTAACCTTTATTAATTGCAAGGAAAGTGTCATCTTAATAGAAAGAATGTTTGAAGCCCGTTCATAAATACTTCTCTTCACTCAGCCAAACTGAATGTCAGATGTTCTCCAAAGTGATGAAATTGATAACAACTACTTTGGTGGCACTGACAGCCATTGCTGTATGTGAGAGTAGTTGTAATTATACATGGCTTTAATGCACAATGGAAAAATCATGTGTAGGATTTTATAAGAACACAAGAGCAAAACTGATTACTTACGGCTGACATATTTGGAAGAATTCACAGTAAGACATCCAAAGCGAAGAACATGATTTGTAACTTTCTGAGATCTGAACAACTAACTCTTCAAGTTTTAAAAAGTAGTTCTTTAACAAGTAGATTTTTGCCCTGACTAAATGTGTTCACTTTTAGCAAAATTAGATAAAAAAGCCTCTGTCTCAAATGCATTTTTCTTTTATTTACTATTGCAGTCCCTAAAGTTCAGGGAGCAAAAGTCATTTCAATCCCCCAATTTTACAGTTGAAGTCTAATTAAAAATACAAGTGGTTTTCAATGTAATTAAGCACTGCCTTTCATAAATAAGCACAAGTGCTTTATTTGAATATAAAGATTGGTTTAAAATTTAGGCGTTGAAAAATCAGGAAAAACTATTATAATTATTACAGTGGAGTCTGACCTCTTGTATAATGCAATCAAATAATTAATAAACACTCATTTTGCAGTGGTGCTGTGCTTGGTTACAGCTTAAAAGTTCTGCCCTACCAGTGACTGTATTCCAGTTTTTAGAGTAATGACTAATTTATCTCTTAACTATTGTACAGTAAGATGAAGAGCACTGCATAATTGAATATACAGTATAGTGAATAACAACATTAAACAATTTAAGGAGAAATTTCAGAACTATTAAATTATCTCAGCTACAAAGCATCAATCACAAAAAAAAGGAAATATAACTATGCCAGAAAGACAGCTATTACCAAGAAATAGCCTATTTGAAATCTCTTGTTTCTGTTATGAAAGTAAATTGATACATCAAAACAAAAAAAGATGTTGCACCAAGGAATTACCGTGAAAAAACTGTTGACTTCAATAATATCTAAAGCTTAACTATAATTTCATCACATGTAATTGGAAGCATTCCTATTGTACAGATGCAAAATTAAAATCATCATGATATACAGCATGAAACATGTTTTTCATTAAAAAGTATATTTTAGAATGTTCTGCACATTTTTCTGCAAATTAATAGTTCTGAAATTAGGATGATTTCCAATTCGGGTTGACTCTTCAAGAGAAAAGACAGGTAATTTTAGGCAGACACACACACAGACAATCACATATTTATTCTTTTTTTATCACTAGTTCACCCTTTTCTATCTGTGGAGCCATGCTCTATGTGCCTGATTCCACAGCCACTGCAAAGTTTCTATTGGTTTTGGTGGTGCAGGCTTCAGTCCTTTTGTATTGATCTCCACCCACTTGTTACCTTTCAGCACGATAAACACTGCACATAGTTCATGCATTCTGTCAGCAAAGTAGACCCTCCTAGCAAGAATGGTACTTGGTAACAACCTATCCAGGCTTCAGAAGCCAGGATTCCACATCATGCGTAATTAGTGATGGACTTTCATTCATGTTTCAGGGATCTCTCTCTTTTATAGGACTATTCTGCGTGAGTAAGATCCATAGGGCCATATCCAGAAATTTAAATTAATTGATGTCACTAAGTAATTTTTTCTAGAGAATGACCCATGAAGACAGGGGTGCTCAACCCCCAGCCCACAGAGTCATGTGATCCAGCCCTCAGGGCTTCCCACAGGTCTGGAAATTTGGTGGGGGGAGTGTTGGCAATTAATGCTGCCACCATTCCCCCACTGCTAGATTTCCAAGCCCCACAGGCCAGATAACTAGATTCCACTAGCATGCAGGGAGTTGGGACCAAGACAGCAGGGCCCAATCCAATGCACATGGGGCTGGATCTGAGGCTAGGACTGGAGATACAGGACTGATCCTGCATGCACAGGGTTGGGGCTAGGGCAGTAGGGATCCAATTAGGTACACATAGGGACAAGGCTGGAGCAGAGGGCCCTAATGTGGCATGTCAGGGCTGGGACTGGGGTGGCAGGCCTGATCCAGCGTAGTGCTGGGGCTGGGGCCACATCTGCAATATAGTGTGCAGGATTGGGCCCACAGAATGGATCTGGCCGATAAGCCAATCCCACACCACTCATCTGGCCAATGGGGCCAAAACAACTGCTTGGGCACTACCGCATTAAGATAACTGTAAAGTCAGTGTGACCAGTGCTGCATTGGTTTGGCAGCTTGGACTTCATGAATAATGTAACTGCTCTCAGAGACTAATATTTTGATATTTGGAAAATGAAGAAGCAATAATGTTCTAACAATTATGCTTTAATCTAACAATAAGATAGTAAATATCTATATTGAACAAGAATACACCAAAGGAATAGATATATGAGAAGATTTTTTGATTTCAAAAGCATTAAAGCTCTGCATTATGGACATTATATTTAAATAAACTAGATCATTAGATAAATTTGCAGTAGTAAGTATAGTGAAAGAAAGAATATTTGTCAGCATTTAAAAGTTTGCATAAGCAGGGATAGGACATTCATAAGTAAAATTTGCAAGGATATTTTTTCTATGTCTTGTTTAACAGTGATAAAATTGGGTAGCTAAGAACATCTTTACCTTCCATTGTATGACATGTACTGGAGTTGATTTTATGTACTCAAGAAGAGTTTTCTCACAGTCTGGTATTTGGATACTATTGACTTTGTAATCTCTGGACACATTCTTAATGAGTAGAAAAGACATGAATCTCAAAGATAAAAACTCGGAATAACAGTGATTCTTTAGGACTTGTCAGCAAGAGAAAGCGCAAACATAAATATCTGATTTACAGAAGCAACACAAATTATTCTGCTAGATTACATTGTTTGTTTCTGTTTCAAATTACTCTGTCAATCCAGAATGAAGGGGTTAAGAGGTCAGTTTAAAAAGTGGTTGAAAGGGCACTGTCAAGAAATTTTTCATAAATTTCAAATCTATATTTGTAACAGTATTTTAGATACATAAAACCACTGTTTCCCTGTCTGAATAAAAGACTTATCCTGTTTCTGTTAACACCAGTTCAATATCTCTATTAATGTTTATAGGAGTAGGATCCTTGCATGTTGAACTAAAACCAAGTAGGCAAGTTTGCTGTTGCATGTTTCTGATGACTGTTACATTCCTGGAATTTATTATTTTTTAAGCTTTCACTGTAAAGGTTTGCTTGTTTTCCTCTTGGGGGGACGGGGAGAAACATTGAAAACTATGTAGACTTGGGGAAACAGATGTAAGGAAGAGGACCTTTCAAAATTGGAATCTGAGTAGGTTAATGTACTTGTAAATGCCCAAGCACAGGAGGAAAGTATGGTCATCTTCAGGGTTGGAATTAATTATACTTTGACTCTTGGAGGAGAGGGGGGGTCTGCA